AGAGTTTACGCCGGCCGATCCGTGTCAGAGCGAGGAATAGGCACAGCGTGTTCCAAGTCTGTGCCAGGGCACCAGAGATACCGATAATCATTAGCGAACGTGAGGTGGAGAAGCCCAGAGTCGCATATAGGCGGGGGCCATAAAATTGGATTACATTGACACCAGAGCATTGGGTGAAGGCCTGGATTCCGGCTGCGAGGAGGATGCGGCGGCGCCAACTTGGGTTTTTGAGAAGGATGTCGCGCCAGGATTTCGAGGATTCGCGCTGTTCGATGGAGATGGTGTCGCATATTTGTTTATACTCCTGCTGGATGAGTGAGGTATTGGAATGTGCGCGGGTTGAGTGTAATCGGACGAGGGTGTCATATCCGCGCTGGGATTGGCCATGCTCGATAAGCCAGCGCGGTGATTCAGGGAGGAATAAGGCTCCAACAACAAGAAGTAGAGCAGGAAATGCTTGGAGGCTTAGAGGGAAACGCCAGGAGAAGGAGTACCTCGCATGGGAGCTGCCGAAGCCAACCCATTGCTGATATATAATGTTAACTTTGGAATATGCGAGGACTTTGGGCTAGCAGTACTTGTAGCTATGGTACGTTGGCTCGATGGGAGGAACTTGATGCGCCAGAGACATACCGCAATGAAGAAGCCCCATCCAATCATCCACTGTTGCATGCCACCGAGCAACCCTCGAATGCTAGGAGGAGCGATTTCGGACTATTTCAAGAGTGGTAAGTCAGGGCACTAAATACTAGGAAATCATGTTTGATTGAGAGTCACTCATTCCCATCGTTTATGCACTAAACATTAAAAACATAGCGGCACATACGCAATAAACAGGGATGGTAGCAGACATTATCCCAACGGCTACTCCGGCGGTAAAGCGCCCTACAATTAACATTGCAATTGTAGACGCTGCGCCTTGGAGACAAGCTCCTAGAGTGCCCAGGATTCCGCCAACGAAAATGACCATCCGTCGACCATGGAGATCGGATAGGTATGACACTCCAAGAGATCCAACAATAGCGCCTCCTACGAGGGAAATAATGACATTAGTTACTCTGGCTCCTTCTCAAGGCACATCGATCAGAGGATCAGAATGTAGACCAAGGTGGAATAACCGCTCACCAGTGAAAGACGAAACAATACCGCCGGTAGAGGCGTCGTTCAATTGACCCTTGAATCTCTGCACGAAGTCATCCTGGGCAATACTCGACGAGATGATACCGCAGTCGTAGCCAAAAAGAAAGGAACCCAAAGCAGCAAATGCGCAGCAAATCGTCACCAGAACGTAGGGCATAACTCTTTTCCCTTTTGTACTATACACCCGTAGCATACAACTTGAAGAAATGCCTATCCTATGTAGGATGTCAAAAATGGATCAATGGCCCTGTGCGGTCTGCCGGACTATGTTCTATCTGCTCAGTTTATGCAGTCCGGCGGCAGTTTACGGAGTCCCAGGGCCCTTCAAACTCAGGTCTTGCAATGACTGAGGTTGCGACCAACGTGCATGAAACAGTGCACTTCACACACCATGGCAGAAGCGCGTACAGGCATTCATAAAAAAAAAGGTACAGGAAAAGTGCGAATCTCGAATTTCGGGTTATATGTTGTGCTGTAACGACTTAAGACAAAGCTGACATATCTCAATTGCAAACAGACCCTATCTTATCGCACTGGATGAATTGCTGGAAGGACTAACTATCCTGTACGTGAGAGAGAGTAAACACACGAGGCAACGGGACATCCGTCGCCTCTGTCTCGAACTTTTTGCATCTTGGGCGTAAGGCTGGACGCTGCCTCCTGGAGGCTAACTAAGGCAGCCAGTCGGATAATGCCTGGTCGCGGGTTAATATCGGGTTCCAACATCACGCCGGATTTGATTCTGGCCCATGGCCCGGTGGCCAGTGCAAGCTTTTTGAGACCGGCCTGTGGGGGTGTGAAGTCTGAACTCTGAAGCTGCGCAGAGGAAGGAAGGAAAGCAAGCGCACGAGCATCCTGTTCAGCCACAGTGCCAAAAGTTTCGGTCGAAGCCCGGTGCTCGTTAACTCGTAAGCATGGAAATTCAAACATCGATGGTGGGTGTTTGGGAGCTGCAACCGTTCCATGGGATCGGGATCACTTTGATGAAGAGGTCCTCCATTACAAAATGACCGTGTTGAACTGGCATCCAGATATTTATAAATCGCGAATATGGACTAGGGAGGGGTGAAGAGCTCTGTCAATTTTTCTCCTCTCGGGATGATTCCATATCGTGTGAACCACCAACACTGCGTACGCTGCGTGGGAGAGAAGATTGCTGCTGGAAACTCCTTGATAACCTCGACAAACGCTTGAACAACGAGATGATTCAAGCCGAATTTGAAGCAGTTTCTGGCACCAACGGCGAGTGAAATAGCAATGTCAGAACTTGAAGTGAATGCATGGTATATTGTTCGAGGCCTACGATTGCAGACTCAGCCAACCTGCTTCCCGCGATTCAATACATATCACATAGCGCCAGACTTATCCCGCCCACCTCTTATGGCCAATAATTGAGACGACGAGTCAAAGGAAGCAAGCGCATGGGAACTACCCTGTCTAAAAATACCATCTTCGCCCTAAAATTTGGAACTTTCATGTGGAAATTACTATGGGCTGACCAGAGGGATCCCAACAGCTTGGTCGCCTGTGGAGATGCGGTGATGCGGTGGCCCGGTGGGCGTCTCCTTGGACGGGTATCTCTCATGCATCAAACAGGGCGCTGGATTGCATCATGCACGGCTTATGAACCACAAATGAAAGCTTCCTTGGGATCTCAACGATGCCCTCACTGTCCCTTGGTGGTTTGCATTGTCATGATGAAACAACCCGAGCAAAAATCTCGGGCTTGCACCCCATCGACATGGCTTCCCTCTTCCTCTCGCAACCAAGATGTTTTTGGGCTGGAAAGGCGTCTTCTGGTCAGCATTCATTCAAAGGATGACGAGGTACGGAGTAGGCATAAACAAAATGCCGACGACTATCGCCCGATGAGCCAATCTTGGATGTCCAAGGGATAAGGCAGTTGGAGCCTCGGGGTTTCTCGCTCCCGGCATCGAACAGCGCGATTGGGAGACTAAAAGGTGACTGCAGGGAACCCTTGTCTAGCCTACGGGGTAATCTGGGTGGCCATTGCAACATCTGTGAACCAAACTCCAGACACTCTATGACGATTTGGCGAAGAATGGACCGGAAGAGAGGCCTGACTACGTGCGAACATTCCATACTGTGTACGCAGGTAGTAAGTATCTACTGCGCACATCCACCCCAACGTCTCTTCCCACCAGCCCCAACTATCTCGATGTTGCGCATCAACACTCACCGTAGGCTACCTAGGTTAAGATCCCAAAGGCCGGAGCCTTGTTGGTGCATTTTTGAGGGGATCTCCTTTCAACATTACTGCTTTAAAAGAAGTGTAGCGGCTCAGCGAGCCGGCAGAGCGTCATTTTTCATGATATTTCATTCAAAGTGTGCAGGAACCCTGCGCCCGAGCGTGCAGGCTTCAGCGATGACCCCCGGCCTATTCCCAGAGTCTCAAAGTTGGGAAATCTGGACTAAACAAATCCGTTACCAATATGCTGGGATGCCATGCTGGCGGTTCGATTTCTCCTTGCATTCATGCCGCTTGGTTCCTCCTAGAACCCGTGCGAGTCCCAACCCAAAAGAAACGGCGTGTCTGGCAGCTTCGATGCATGGGAAGCAGAACCTCTGGAATGTCATTTTATGTCATTCTGATGCTTGAAATTGATCCGACTGGACTCTGCATTGAATTGCGAAAACCATCCGATGCGCTGGCCCCTCGGCGCGGCAGCCTATGATGGGGTGAACTTGGTGAAGAAGGTTGACTACTTGTTTGGAATCCGTTTTTAATGCCCGGTTTGCAACTACATACTTTATTAGTGGCCTGGTCCCTATCCCCTCAACCTCTTCTTTGGCTTTTTTGCTATCTTATTTTTCTGGCGAGCAGCATTCGCCATTTGTAGCTTCTTCTTCTTCTTCTTCTTCTTCTTTTTTTTTTTTTTCCTTTTGTTTCGTTTCTGTTCTTTTTGCGAATACCTTTGAGTTTTTGGGACCTCAGCTCTCACCTTGTTCTTTTTTTGTATAGTTACTAGTATCATTTATTGTCTACCGCGTTTTACAGGCCAGACTAAATTTCACGTTCGGGATTACAATCCACGCTCCAGTAGCTGTTGACTCTGGATACTCTGTCTGGATGGCTACCTCGAATCTTGAAAGTAGGAGAACCCGGTCTTCGAGCCAGTTTCCAGAAGTCGACGACCAGGTAAGCAAAAGAGGAACCCTTTACCCCACGGGTCATATATATAACTCCCGACGCAACTGATCCATGCAATTCCCTAGATATACTAATGGTTTTTTTTTTCTTTTTCCAAAAAGGGCTACCCAAGAAACCGGTAGTAACTATGGAGATAATGGGTGAGCATTCCGGTCATGACTGCCTGCCGGCCAAACCAGGGAGGGGTATTGCACAATGATAGAGACCTGTACTCCAGATCCATTTCCAGCGATGCAGAAAAGTATCTCGGGAGACCGCAAGACAACTGATTTATACATCCCAAGCCTATCTCTTACCCAATGATGACAAAGAGAACGAACGGCTAACTAGATATCCACCACGCGCTGGTGATGCCCATCATGGATGACAGACTGTTCTTCGCGCCCATTAAAACCCCCACGAAGGTCATTGATTTTTCCACGGGCTCCGCCATTTGGCCAGTGGAATTTGGTATTTCCCTTTAAAAAAAAATAAAATAGGCCCCGCTTTGACAACCCCCCTTGTAATACGCATGCTAACCCCCTGTTCGAAAAGCGGACATTTTTCCCGAATGCAAGTATGTTTTCAAAAAAAAAAAAAAAAAAAAAAAAAAAAAAAAAAAAAAAAAAAAAAACCCCTATCGAGTGCTGTCCACGGTGGATATGAAAATGAAAAGCTGATAGATATCAGGTGATTGGAAACGACCTCTCACCAACCCAACCCTCACTGTCAGTAACCGCTTTTTGTATGCCGCTCGGGCCGGAACCGAGGAAAAAATCAAAAGACGTATTATTATCCCCCTAAACTCGGCGAGAATCCCCCCCCCCCCCCCCCCGTTCTGGTTTATACTTTTCCGCCTTTTTGTTTTTTCATCCCTCTGGAGAGGCGGGTGAGGGAAAAAAGAGAAGTTACCTAATTACGCATTGTGAATGAATACGTTACTCTACTTCGCTAACCTACGCGTGCGATCCCTAGCTGCACGAAACCTGGGGGATGGGTCGAATTCCATGATTGGGACACGCATCCTTACTCCGTCGACGGATCGTTAACGGGCACCGACCTCGAGCATTACTATCACGTGGTCCTGGCCGCATTTATCAAGCAGGGGTATTACACGCAGCCCGGAAAGCATCTTGAACAGTGGATTACCGATGCTGGCTTTGTAAATGTCCATGTCAAGAAGTATCGGGTTCCGCTGGGGACGTGGGCAAAGGGAGGGAAAAATGTGCGTATCTGATATTCCCTTTTTTTCTCAGCGGAAAAGGGCAAGGAAAACAAGGAAAATCCCCCCCCCCCTCTCTCAAACAAGAAGACTATAAGGGGGAAAAAGCAAAGCAAAACAATGGCAATGCCAGCCTGCTTTCTTTCCTCTCGCCCAGCCTTGGTATTCTTCCTTTTTTGTGTTCCCCTAACTCAGCGCCCGCGCGCTAACGAGCTCCGTATATATATATATATATATATATATATATATAACAACACCATGCAGAAACGAATGGGCGCGGATAATCTCATGCAGTTCTTCGAGGCAATCGAGGGGGGAGCCATGGCGGTGATGACGCGATACGAAGGGTGGACGCCGCAGGAAGTCCAGATCCTGACGTCCAAAGCCCGCAGCGATGCCCGGAGACCCGATGTGCATGTCCTGTTCGATTTGTATGTTCTGTTTCCTTAGTTGGTTGGCCCTTACTCCCTTCCCGTCCCGTCCCCAGGGCTCTTGCATCTTCATCTTCTGCTGTTCATAATAGATGGCGAGCAAGGAAAAAATGGAGAATGAAAAATGAAAAATGAAAAATAGGGGGCCTTTATTTCCAATCTCAATGGGATACAATTACAGTCTTTGACTACTTTGACATTGACTTTGACATTGACTAACTGTGATGTGCCCTCCTTATTGTAGGTATGCAGTGGGGGGCCAGAAGCCCGAGAGTTGACAAAATAATACTGCTCGAAATGATTTTGGGCGGGAGTACAGAGAGCAGTGGAAACCCCAATTCAGCTGAATGGTTCTTGAGGGGG